TTGAACTTTTGAAGTATCCTCATATATAGCAGAGCCTGTGATTCAGAAGGCGTGTGTGCGTGTGTGTGTGTGTGTGTGCGTGTGTGTGTGTGTGTGTGTGTGTGTGTGTGTGTGTGTGTGTGCCTGTCTTTCTCTTAGCAGGAAGATGGAAAGCAAGTGCTGCTTGGTATAGCCGTCTCTAACTCCCGTCATTGTAGAGCCTTTCCAGCTTGGCTGTCATTTCTGCTTTCAGGACGCTTCTCGTGCTTTTAGGTGTCCCTGATAATTGCAGACTCTGAGCCTCTCCTAGGCAGAAAGTTAGCGGAAGAGATTTGGCTCCCTAGTCCCTCCCATCCCCCTCCTCTGGCTGCTGGCTCCCAACTCCTAGCACCCCTCCCCTCTCCCCACCCGCATAAAGGGCTTTTTTTGGTAGTGGAACAGAAATGTTGGAATCAATAGGACAATAAATTGCCACATGGTCTTTATTGTGGAGGCAAGATTTCTACAGAAAATCCTTGTAATCAGAAGAGAGGGGAGATGAGATTAAACTGATTAAACTGAGAAAGTCAAAAAAGGACAACTTGAAAGATTAGCTGCGCAGTGCCAGAGAGGCGCAGGCCACCGTGCATGCTAAGCAGAGCTGTTCCCTGCACGACGGCCCAGCGCCGGTGACCTTCCGCCGCGTCAGCTCGCAGCCAGTGGAGCCAAGGCAAATACTGGAAATTGAAAAGCCAGAATGTCAGTGATTGCAGCAGGTATCAATATTATTGTAATGATGCTTCGCTCTCATTAGGGGACTTAATTACTTAGGGAGGGGGGGAGGCCAGAAGGCAAAGCACGGAGTCACCGTGGCGTCGGCACCCAGATCACGTCCCCTATTTGAACAGCCTCACTCGAATCTACTGGTGAGGCGAGAAGGAAGGCTGGTTTTAAGAGGGCTGCAAAGGCCAACAGGGGTATGTGTAGCAAAATGGCCCCTAAAATGCAAGCGTGGAATGGCAGCTTTCACAGTGCCTTCTGCACCATCCGGCACAAGCAAGCCCAAGAAACCCATGTGCTCAAGACAGTTGCGGCCGCGTCAGGGTACCTCTGCTCAGGTGCTGTTTCTGCTTCCGGCTCCAGCGTCCTGCTGATCCGCACTCGGGGAGGCAGCTTGTGATGGCTTAGGTTGGGGGTGGAGTGGGGTGGGAGATCAGGCAGCCCGCGATGACTCGGGTCCTGGCGTGGGTGACCCAGAGTGCTGTCTGGGGTCCCGGCTTCCACCTTGGCCAGTCGTGACTTCTGCGGATATCTGGGAAGTGAGCCACTGGACGAAAGATCTGCATCCCTGCTTCTTTGCCTTTTACATAGAGTAAACAAATACATAAATAAATTTAAAAATTTGAACTGATTGAATTTACTGTCATGGCATACTTAAAACAAAAATGTAAATGCATGAAGGTTGGGGTATTGAATTTGACCAACAGATTGTTTTTGGTCTCCCAAGCTACTTTTCACATTTGATCTTTAGCTCTCTTTCTATGCCTGCCCCAACTCCTCCTTGTCTTTATTCTTCTGTAGGAATTTCCAGTTCTTGGCCTATTTGCTATGACGTTGTAATTCTGAAATGCAGAGTTCAAAGTGGGTCTATGTTTGTCTTGTAATTCTGACCCTCAAATAAAAATGAGAGCATTTCTGAACCCTCAGGGCTGTGGTTGTGCTGAGCCAAGACAGAATTAGCTCCACTCATTGACCCGAAAATAGACCTGACCCAACTTGACCTGCCAACATCCCAGTGCTGAGCAAAATTCATATTTCCAAATTTAATGAATCAAGTGTATTTGTTTTTGAGTGGGAACAGCAGCCAAAATCAACTTCTGACTACATGGGAGTGATCCTTCCACTCAGTCATACCTTCAGCCAACTGTTTCCTTTACTCTCACCCCAAAACTCCTTATTTCTTTGGCCCATTCAGAGATGGAAAAGAATTCAAAACATCTGAAGAAAGGAATGTGGAACAGTTCCAGTCAGAACCGAGGTGTTTGAAGTCACTACAGAATCATTCAGGAGTCAGTAATACCGCAGGCCCCAGGGACTGTGTCTTGCCTTGCCAGGACACTGAAGCTTGAGGTAAGGAGTTAAAGGGTGATGGAGGCATGATGGGATTACCCTGCACGTTTCTTACAACAAAGCAGGTGCAGAATTCTTATCTATGTACAACTTCCTTCTCTGGGTAAGAGACAGGAAATTTAGAGTATGGCCGCTTATCCTGCTACTCAGGAGGCATGCTTCCAGAATTCACAGCCTAAATCTGACTTTGGGATGTACAGTGTCATTGACCCGCCCTCACCGCCAGGTTAGCTTCCATGCTTAGACTCAAGCTTGGGTACCTGCATATGTTGCAATTCAGACCAATTTTCCTCTCAACTCAAGGAGACAAGAAAGATGTTGCTTCAGGTCAAGATTTCCTTTTCTGAACCCTCTTTTCTTGTTATAGAGTCAGGTTGTTCCCGTGTTGACTGAATGCAGGCACAGTTGTCCACCCTTCCCTACAGGCCCCCAGTGATAGGTTGGATTGATGTGGTCTCCTGTGCATATGCACTTAATGGTAGATATTAACATATAAATTAATACTCTAAGACATTAGCAACAACAGCTAAGAATAAATTAGAGCATTTTAATAATACTTCTACAATTCAGTTCAAGTTATTTAAACCCTAGAATTGTTTATTTCTGGAACTTTCCATTTAATATTTTCAGGCCACAATCAAATGCAGTAACGAGGACTTGAGAGAAATCGGAGATAGTGGGGTAGTTTTCTTTACGTTTCTTCTCTTCCAGGGCAATCTGTGCCTTCCAAAGATGGTTTACACAACAATTTAATCATGAGCGTACATTAGGAGGGATCCGGGTTCTTGTCTCTGCTGCACAGAAGAACCTGAACAGAGCAGTGAGATTAATTAGGAAATGACATACTCAAGAGCCAGTGTGGGCTTACTCTGGAGTGGGTTGCAGCCATGTGATTGGGGCAATTTCTTCATGTGATATGGAGTCAAAAGGGGTGGTTCTTTGGCTGCGATTTTCCAAGAAAAGGCAGGATTTTCAAGAATTTGATGACGACCCATTTCCCATTTCTCATTTTTGTAGAAAGTCAATCGCATGACGGGAATGGGAGTGTCAGCCATGGTAATGGTGTTTAATGGCCTTATACTGTCACACGTCATTATACTGTCACGTCTGCACGTTACTCTTGGAACATAGTTGGTTGGTATGCTGGGTATTTTCCACCCTGGTTCTGGACAATGTCTTTGCTGTAACAATTTTAGGTAGCCAGCCATGGGAGCACTTTTAGAGACTGTCCAGGCAGGAGGAGGTTGAGATGGCAGATTGTGACACAATTCCTCCAGATCTTTTACTGATGGCTGTATTTTTCCTGTGACAGTTGAGATTCGTCTTTCAAAATCCCAGATACAATTATTTCAGCATTGTCTGTGTTAAGGTATGAGTTTCTCCAACTTGCTTGCAAGTCCCAATCCTGGACAATGTTTTGAGAAACACTGCCTGCCTCTCCCATATTGTGGTTCAGTTGATTTGGAATGAGGTCTGAGTTTTCCTTCTTTGACTGTAATAAATCTTGGGGTGATATGGTGTATTGGCCCATGTGTACTGGTTCCTCCACTGTGTTAACCAGAGTTCAGGGTTGTGTGTTGGATCACATCTTGCCAAAGATGCCATACTTCTTCTTCCCTTCTCTGCTGGACTGTCTAGGATTACACTGACAATGAGCCCTGGATTCCCTATTATTATTTCTAGAGGTTTTTTTTAATTTTAATAATCTTTATATAGGTGATTAGGGCACAGAGGGTCAAGGGCTACAGGAAAGTGGGTAAGACCATTGTTTTCACATTTTTTTTTCCTGTATCTGGGGTAAGGAGGGAAATAAAGGGAGAAGCCTTACCCAGCCTCCCACCTGTCCTAGGTTTCCTGATGTAGGGCATGCTCCGTGGGTCCTGCTCAAGTGATCTTGTTAGTCCAACAATTCTGAATCGCTGCTAATCTTGCCATTCCAACCATGATGAAATCTCTCCAGAATCCACTAAAATACAAGAGTACCTGGGTCTAACATCCAGTGTTTAATTGGTTTGAGTCAAGCTTAGGAGTAACTCTTTTTTGATTTTAAAGTAAATCCTTAAACACAAACTCTTGAGTGAATTAGAAAGCCACAGCTATCCAGAGAGCTTTGACAATCTAGAAAGTGTTTATGAATGACTAGTAGAAAAATCATGGGAGTTCAAGTTTGGATTGATACCACATGAGCCATGGAACTGAAAGTTTTACTTTAAGATGGATGTATCTCTTTGTTAAGAGATTGTTGATTAATTCGAGAGGCCAAAGGGTTACAGAGTGATAGAGATAGTGAGGGATGGATAATTCTCACTGTCCTGTGCACGCCCCACAGTGACCAGGGCTAGGCTGAGGCCAAGGTCAGGAGCTATGAAATTAGTCACCGTCTCCTTAGTCACCCAAGGGTCCAAGTACCTGAGCCAGAACCAGCCAGTTCAGCCAGAAGCTTGGATTGAGAGCGGAACCGAAGCTTAACCCCAGGCACTTTGTCAGGGCATGCCAGCATCCCAAGCACAGTCTCGGCTGCTAGCTTAATGAATGCCCCTTCTTTCTTTTAAAAAATGTTAATGTATTTACTCTTGTTTTATTAGAAATGTAGAGAGACACACACACGAGGAGTGACAGAGGTAGACGAGGAGAATCCATTCATTGGTAGGTTTACTTCCCAGATGTCCCACAGCTGATGGTTGGGCTAATACCAGGAGCATGGAGCTATGTCCAGGTATCGCATGTGGGTGGCAGGGGACAAATGCTCCAGGAGTCACCTACTGTGTCCCACGAAGACAGGATCACAAGTGCAGCTGGGATTCAACCCCAGCTACTCTGATACGGGAGGTGAGTGTCCTAACCACGAGACCTAACACACACTGCTTTTTTCTTTTTGAAAAAAAAATTTAAAAATTCTGTTCTTAAATATTATTGTATATCTTGTATGCAATGCTATGCAATGCATACAAAGGACAGGGCAAGTAAAAATGATCTGTATTTACTAGCATGGTATGGTGATGTTTGATTAACTGTGGAATGACTAAATCCAACTAATTGATATATCCACAACCACGTTGATCTGCATAAACTGGGTTTCTTAAAAGACAAGCCTCTCTAGAAAGTGGTGAGACAAAGAGGTACGTAGCAACTGATAAAGGAAGTGCTGAGGTCGGCACTAGGCCAGCCTTAATCCAGTGTCTGCCTGGTGTGTTGACTCTACGGTAAAGCCATGGTCAAAACCAACCTTACTATCAGCCTGGTGTTCACATTGTAAAATGTGACTGGAATGGAAATTATTGACTGGAATGGAAATCATTCTTTCTTTTCTTGTTTGCCAGAGACCTAAGGTCTTAAGTTGTTGCTCTTTTGGAAAGTGAAATGTAATGTACTTATTTGTTTTAGTACTACAGAACTGCTAAATTTCCCTATTCCTTGAGAAATTTTTGGTGAGTGATTTTTTTAGGAACTAGACATCAAAAAGGACTAGGACCTGCGAGGTGGGTGCCAGGTTCCTGAGCCCTGCGGATGGAGGCTCTGGTGCGACTTGAGTTGCCTGCCCTGGGTCCTAGAGCCTGCCTGTCATGAACCTGGGTGTCCGGTTCATGAGCCCTGGGGGTAGGAGATCCAATAGGGCTCAAGTCACCTGGTCCGGGTCCAGGGTCCACCTGCGAGGTGTAGTCCTCGTCCATGAACCCCAGGGTTGGGGGATCAGGTAGGTCTCAGGTCACCTGACCCTGATGCTTGGACCTGCCTGCAAGTGGAAAAGGCAGAACAGTGAACGCAGACCCTGATGCACACGAGAGTAAGGCAGCCCATTTGGTACCATCACAGAAGAAGGAGAACAGAGCAAATTAGACAACTACCCCAGCAAACGACGACCACAAAAACCTCGGTGAATGGAGACTTGAGGTTGACTGTAAAGTGGCAAGAAAAACACAGAGAAAAATGAGTCAAAAACAAAAAAAAGAGAGAGAGATTTTCTATATAAACAACAGGAATGTACAATATATACTGGTAAAACAAATTTTTTTGTAAATTATCATTAGGAACAGTATTTGGAAACCGTGAGGAACAATGGCATGCTTGTGGAAGTGACACCAGTTCACAGCTCTGGTATTGTTGGGTGCTGGCAAAGACTTGGAGAAAGCAACCGTTTACAACCCAGTGAGTAAGTATGCATGAATGTAATTATTTTGGAAAAGAAAATTTAAACTTCCTGAAAATTGGAATGCAGTCACGTATTCCAAATAATGACATTTCTAGATGCATACTCCAGGGGAAATCTCAAGAGTGCTTGCGTTGTACACAAAAATAGTCCCAGCAAGACTGTATTTACCAAATTTTGAGAAAAAAAAACTTGAATATTTATCAACAGAAAAATTAGGGACTGACAGTGTGTTCAGACTCTGTCAAGGTGTGCAGCAAGCTTTTCCCGTATTTTTCACTGCACGGCACACATTAAAACTTGCATTTTGTGGCACAAAGGTTTAAGTTTGAGGAATTAGGGTTACTTCTACAGAATGACTACAGGTTTTGGATTCCCCAACTCAGCACTGGCTTGTCCAGGATTCTCTCAGTTCCAACTTCCCGTGACAGCAGGATGATCAAAAATGTCTCCCTACCTTTGCAAAGTAGTCTAGCTTGAACAAAGAATTGTATGCTCTCTCTTTGTCAGCTGGGCTCAGTGAAACATGCTCCAATATATTTGTATTTTAAAATATTACGGAAGGTATTAAATATTGAGTACATGTGTGATAACTTTTAACATGACAAGGACAAACTAGGATTTGCTCTTAGCACAGAAGAATTTTTTTAAAGGTAAGATTTTGACTGCCTTGTAACCAAGAAATGAATAGATGTCTGGGTTTATCCAATTAATTGATGACTGAGGGAGTCAGTAGGATGTGAAGATATGTTCAAAGGGGATTCTAAAGGGCAGTATCCCGTGTAGGCAATTAGGAAAGCTGAATAAATTTACAAATAGACATAGGTGGGCAGTAACCTAAGGCCAAACAGAGTGGGATGCTTGAAAACATCTGAACAAAACTGAATAGTACCTCACTGAGCAGGCATACTCCTTTTACTGTCAACCTGAACACCTTCATCACCATCAGCCCTCATAACCTTTATCTCAACACAGTTGTAAAGCAGGTCAGTTCAAGACAATGGAGGGTCCAGAAATGAGTCAATACAAGCCACCTGCCAGAGGACGAGGGGTACTCTTCCAAGCACATCAGGAAACCCTTCCATCCAAGTTTTGCACAGAGAGCTAAAGGCTGCAGTAGCTCAATTTGTTATATTGACCACAGAAATAAGTCTAACTTTACATACAAATAGTCAGTGCACAAAATCTTGGCTCCCGCTATTTATCAAGTGTTTTTGAAATAAAACCTTTGTGTCTGTCTTTCAGAGGTGCTATCAGTGTAGAATATATATATCATCTTTACTTAATACCTTATTTCCAATTGCTCATTTATTGCTTTCCATATTTCACACTCAGTAGTTTGTTTTGGTATATCTTTGCAGAACTAATAATGTTCCATAAAGCATTTCTCTTGAGGGCTTCCAATTAGTGCTATTAACTGAACATTCTTAATAACGGCTGCAGATTCATTCATCTGCAAGAAAGCCATTTTGCTTTTATAATTTTCTGGATCAGTGTTGTTCCAAGTGATACACCATGTTGGCGGTGAACCTGCTAGCAGTGATTCAGCTGTGGCACCTTCTCCTTTTCTGTTGCTCCATTGGACCAGCGCGTACCGTCGATGATTTCACACAGACTGCTAAAGCAATTGACTAAAATCATGAGAGGCCTTTTGTGATATCTGGCTGTTAATTGAACAATTCTACAACAAAAGAGTTTTGTGTTGTTGTTCTGTTTTGAGGGCCAGGAAGACATCGGATGCCTGATCCTTTAGCATTGTGTGGGCAAAGCAAGTGTTTTCTAGAGCAAATGTAGTGGATTGTAATCTTTGTTTCATTACACGCTTTTCTCATAAGTAAGATATGTAGGATTAGGAACAAAATAATTAATGACACACATGATTCCAAATCTAAATATTACATGATTTACCTAAAAAAAAAAACCCCACGAACAAACATACTTGTTTTGTGAATCTGAGATAATATTCTCAGTAAGAAAATCACTCATCATAATAGAAGAAAATGAATCAATTCAGACAAAAATTGCTCAAAAGAAATAAAAGTATAAAAGCTTAGGAAACGATGAACTTAAAATTTGTTTTTTTTTTTTTTTTTAAAAAAAACTGTTCAAATTTGAGAAGCTAATTGAGAGAAGAGGACTGGCTCACCTCCCAAATGACTGCGGTTCCACTGGGCAAGTTAGAAGTCCCTTGAGCTCTCCCATGTGGGTGGGAGGAGCCTCCCGGTGTGTGCCTAACAAGGCTGCTGGCGGCAGGTGCCAGAGTTGAGCATCAAATCCAGCAGTTTTGAAAAGAGACATCGGCATCTCAGCTAGTGTCTTAACCACTGGGCTAAAATATTAGTGTCGTAAGAATTCATAACAATATTTAAAGAAATGATTCATTAACAATCATAAAAGCTAAACTTAAAATATTAATAGGTGATCTGGATATGCATAACTCCATAACTACTGTTATTTTATCAATGAAAATAACTATGCCGGTCTTTTATTGGTTTACAAAGATAAGCAATGAAAAATTCAAATTTAGAGCCCGGCATGGTAGCCTAGTGGCTAAAGTTCTCACCTTGCAAGCACCGGAATCCCATATGGGTCCTGGTTCTAATCTTGGCGCTCCTGCTTCCCATCCAGCTCCCTGCTTGTGGCCTGGGAAAGCAATCAAGGACGGCCCAAAGCCTTGGGACCCTGCACCCACTTGGGAGACCTGGAAGAGGCTCCTGGCTTCGGATTGGCTCAGCTCCAGCCGTTGCGTCTGCTTGGAGAGTGAATCAATGGACAGAAGATATTTCTCTCTGTCTCTCCTCCTCTCTGTATATCTGATTTTGCAATAAAAATAAACAAATCTTGGGCTCCGCACAGTAGCCTAGCTGTTAAAGTCCTCGCCTTTAACATGCCAGGATCCCATATGGGCGCTGGTTCTAATCCTGGTAGCCTGGCTTCCCATCCAGCTCCCTCTTTGTGGCCTGGGAAAGCAGTCAAGGACGGCCCAAAATGTGAGGACACTGCACCCATGTGGGAGACCCAGAAGAAGCTCCAGGCTCCTGGCTTAGGATTGGCTCAGCTCTGGCTGTTACAGTCACTTGGGGGGGGGGTGAGTCATCAGACGCAAGATCTTCTTCTCTGTCTTTCCTCCTCTCTGTAGATCTCCCTTTGCAATAAAAATAAATAAATATTTAAAAACAAAAAATAAATACATAATTCTATTAAAAAATCAAACTTGAAATGTATTGTTAATTTATTCCAGAAATAGGACTTTGAGTCAATGCTAGCATCAAACTTCATAAATAATAAATGAATGCATAATTATTGTATCCCATTGTCTAATTATTATCTTCTGAAATTCCAGTGAAACCTCTTTATGTTGATCTTCCCAGCTTCCTATTTTATTTTTAAAATGAAATATATATATATTTTTTTAAAATCATCCATCCGATGATTCACTCCCGAAGTGACCAAACGGCTGGTTCGGAGCCAATCCGAAGCCAGGAACCAGGAACCTCCTCCAGGTCTCCCACACGGGTGCAGGGTCCCAAAGCTTTGGGCTGTCCTCTGCTGCTTTCCCAGGCCACAAGCAGGGAGCTGGATGGGAATAGAACCGGCGTCCATGTGGGATCCTGGCGAGTTCAAGGTGAGGACTTTAGCCACTTAGGCCATGCTGCCGGGCCCAAAATGTATATTTTTATAACAAAATCTTTTTCTTAAATTTGCTTAATCTTTCTATAGTTTCTTTTTCTTCACTAAAAATATATACTTAATTAGTTATATTTAACCTAGATGCCCATTAAAATAAGATTGGATAAGAAAATCAATACATCTACTCAGCCACTAAAAGAATAAAATTCTAGCATTTGAAACCAAGTGGTCCAAAGTGGAGACCATTATGCTCCATGAACTGAAATAAATATTATGTGTTTGAGATAAGACAACTCGCATCCAAAACACAAAAAGATAAAAATGCAATAATTATATGCTTGTAATGTTACAGAAAAAAAGGATATAAAGGAGAGCAGAGTGCCAGGAATCAAAGAGCAACAGAATGCATCTCTACTCCTGAATAAAGGCGGGCACCCATAAAACTTTTAAATACACATAGACAACAAAATACTAAACTTACTACCCTTCCTGATACTTACAGTGCCCTGACCCACATAGAGACCAGAGTGCCGGAGTTAAGACTACAGCTGAAGGACAACGCTACTGTAAAAGACGACGGTGTGGAGGAGGAGGGAGACGAGGGGCAAGGCCGGAAGCCCTGTATCTGCAAAAGTGTAACATGGAAACTAAGAAAAAGAAAAAAATGTATCTTGAAACATAAAATATTCATTTGATGTTCTATATTTGATCGTTGTATTATCTTAATGTTTTAATTTTTCTAGAAAACTTATTTGAAATCTACAGAAATCTATAGAAAGAGTGACACACTGATGTGCCCCTACTAAGGCTTTCCCCAAATGCGCATAGTAGTTGGCTCAGGGTTAAATCAAAGCCAGGACTGAGGAACCAAGACAAGTTGACCATACAGCGGGCAGGCACTCAACAACAGAAGCTTGCTTGTGGTACGTTCCAGGTGCACATTAGCTGGAAGCAAGAATCAGGAGCTCAGCTAGGATTCCAGCATCCCAAGTGATATCTTGGCCACTTTGTTCTATCTGAATTTTCTTTTGTGCTGGTTTTTTCTCATGATCTTGTTTTGTGTGGTAAGTTTGCTTCAGCTTTTGCTTCTTATTGCTGGTTCTTGTGCTTCTCTTGGTCTGTCTCATGCAGTTAAAACAGAATATTTAAGACTGGTTACTTGATAAAGAACAGAAATGTGTCTAACACAGTCCTGGAAAAATACAGACTAAGGAATCCAAGATCGAGAGTCTGGCGTTTAGCATGGCATCGTGTGTCTCAAGGCAGGGAGGCCAACGGGGACTACCACTGTAACATCCTCTGGCAGACAAACGCAAACCCACTCTGCCAGCCTTGTCTCCAGAAGCATTAACCCTTTCTAGGGAGAAGAGCCCTCATCACCTCAACAGCTCCCATTAAGCCTCTCTTCCCAACTGTTCCACAAGGGACTGAGTTATCAACACCTGAGTTTTGGAGGGGACAATACGTCTCCTATCAAAGCAGCACTTCAGTTTCTTAGTTATACAAATGTAATTCTTGGGCAGGGGTGGGGGTAACTTTTGGCCTAGCGCAAACAGGTTTGCATTTCTTATTGGAGTGAGTGGGTCCTCTCCCAGTTCCAGCTTCCTGTTAGCGCACATCCTCAGAGGAGCAGGTGATGGCTCAGGTGCTTGAGCTCCTGACTCCTGGCGTGGCTGACCCATCTCTGGGTATTTTGGGTATCTGGAGAATGAATGTGAGTGGAAAGTTGTTCTCTCAAACTCTCTCAAATGAAGAAGTCAGTACTTTTTAGTGTAATACTTTGACATCTGTGTTGAAGTGAGAGCTTCCAAAATGATTCGGACGTTTTTGGAAATCCCACTAGCCTGGAATCAGTTGGCATGAAAGTCTTTGCTTGAGGATTTTGTTCAAATCATGCAAATATAACGAATTCAGGTTACACCCTCCCATGGGTGCTACTTATTTATAAATTCTCAGGCATTTGTTTCTCCTGGAGTCTAAGTGACAATGTCTGACTATTTCCCTCGTGGTTTCCTTTGGTGGAACAATCAGCTTATTTTTATTCTATATTTGTACAAGTGGTTTAGATTCTTGGAGACCCAGCTTTATTAAAAGGCGATTCCTATTGGACAATTCATGTCTGGGAGGACGTGGAATTTTTCTTCTCTTTCCTGAGCCCTAAGAGACCGTATAAATACAGCTCAACACAGAGTCATTCAACAAATAGCCTGGAAGAGAGGCTAGATGGCAGCTTCCACTTACCATATTGGGCTCTAGTCTGCACTTGGGCTTGGTGCGTGATGCTCTCCAGAGACACAGAAGGTGACATCAGAGACAGAGACATCAGAAGGTTATGGAGTGGATGGTCCCATGTGCTTGCCAAGTCCAAAATCTCCAGCGGGATGGCTGACTACCAGGAGACCCAGGGAAAATTTGAGTTCAAAGGCTGCTTGCTGGTAGAACTCCTCTAATTTTCCAGAAAGTTCCATTTGTTCTGATAAGATCTTCAATTGATTTTAGGAAGCCAGCTCACATAATGGGAGGAGGGAGTCATTCTTATCCAGTTTAAATATTTATCTCATTCAAAAATACTTTTACAGAAATATCTAGAATAATATTTCACTATATATTCAGATCCCTATGCCTTAAGCAGAGCTGACAGATAAAATTAACCATCTAACTTGGTTTTCAAAGTTTGAACAATAGTCATTTACCTTGAAGTCTTTCATTGTAAGAAGAAACTGATTTTTAAAAATAAGTCATCTACATTATTCTGTTCAGGTATAATTTATATTCAACAAAAGTGCACGGGATTACAAGGCTCTGTTTTATTAGTTTCAACAAACGTAGACATGTAATGCTAACACAAAACTACACGTATACCATATCCAAATCCACAACCTTTCTAAATGTAGGGAAAGTTTCCATTGCCTTTTTCCAGTCTAATTGCACCCTCTTCCTGGAGACAAACATTTCTGATTATTATTTCCATAGATTAATAATGGCTGATGTTGGGTTGAAAGTAAATAAAATCAGAGTGCCTTTTTAAAAAAATATTTAGTCATATTGTTTAGTAAGATTCCATTGTATGAATAAAGCATAAATTGTTTATAGATTTTATTGATTTATATTTAGATTGCTTCCAGACTTTTTTACTATTATAGAGTAATCTGCTACAAATATTTTTATGCAAGTATTTCGTGTGAGCATATGGTTTCATTCCTCTTGGATAATACCTAGGAGTGGAATTGCTGTTTTATAGGGAAGACATATGTTTAACTTTATAAGAGGCTGTCAATTGTTCTCCAAATCAGTTATACCATTGTATTGAATTATGAGCAATATAGCAAAATTTTGGTTACTCCTCCTCCTCTATACCGAAAATTCAGTTGCATGTTCTTATACAAAAAGAAAACAAAATTGAATGATAAATAACAATGGTATTTAAAATAGCCTAAAGATATCAATTACATAGAAAAAAACATTCCCTTGAAAAAATTGTGAATGACTTCCATAAAAGCTGCAGCATGATTATTCAGTGTAATTAAAAGCCCACATAAATTCAGAATAACTA